GAGAGAGAGAGAGAGAGAGAGAGAGAGAGAGAGAGAGACAGACAGACAGACAGAGAGAGACAGAGAGACAGAGAGAGAGAGAGAGGGCAAGGGCCAGGAGGTGGGGAGGGGCAGTGGAGAACCGTGTCCTCCAAGTGGGTATAACATCTTGGTTCTTGTTTCTCCAGGTCCCAGTACCTCACTTCTCATCCCAACAGGAGTCAGTGCCTCCACTGAGGGGAACAGGGCCCCTCTCACCTTTAATTTGTTCTGTGATTAAAAAACTGGGTTCCCAGGGATGGAAATGTGTCATTAAAAACAACCAAGAGAGTGGAATGAGCCACAGCCCAGCCCTGGAGAAAGATGCAAGAACTGATCAAGAACTCTGGAGGTCTTCACCCACACACCCAAGTTCATTCTCTCATGCATGCTCTCTTTACGAAAAAACAAGACACTGAGAAGAAAATCCAGAAAGCTCATATGAAAATATTTAAACTCTATTTTTCTCAAAGTAAAAGGCTAAATCCTTTCTAATCCTCAACAAGGGCCCATACAATCTACCCTCCCTAATTTCTCCACTTAGCCACACTCCTTCTCAAGCCCTTTGTACTACCTATGCCCTCTGCTTGGAAATCTCTTTCCCAGAACATCTTCATGGACAATTCTTTCATCTCCTTCGAGTGGTTGAAGGATTCACTCTCCCAATGAGGCCACCCTCAAACACTCTAAAATTGTAATCCATAACTAGGGGTGTAGCATGTGCCTCTACTCCCAACTACTGTATTCATCTGAGTCAAGAGGACCACTTGAGCCCAGGAGTTTAAGGCTAGCCTGGGCAACATAGGGAGATGCTGTTACCAGCAGAGGAGGGTGAGGGAGGAAGGAAATATCTGAGAATATAGCTCAGTGGTTGAGCACCTGGCTAGCATGTGTAAGGCCACATGTTCAACCCATAAAACCATAAAATTGCAATCAACAGTCTCATACTACATACCTAGCCTCCCTTTTTCCCTATTGTAATTAAACTCTATAGCATCCATATTCTATGTTAACAGTGAATCATTGTCTCTCTCTTTCTCTCCTTTTTTTTTCTTTTTTTTTTTTTTCCAGTACCAGGGACTGAACTCAGGATTTTGCACTTTCGAGGCAGGCACAGTGCCACTGAGCTAAATCCCCAGCCCTTATTGTCTTAGTTACTTTTCTCATTGCCAAGTCAAAATACCCAACATCCAAAGTTAAGGGAGGAAAGGTTTGTTTGGTTCACAGTTTGTAGAGGTTCTAGTCCATAGTCAGCTGGCTCCAAGGCAGGGACAAATGGCAGACAAGAATTCCAGAGGAGAAACAGTTCATGGTGGGCAGAAGGTAGCAAAGCAAGCAAAAGGCCTTATTAACTTTTTTCTGCCCCTTTTATACTCTGTCTAGGCTACCGAGATTAGGGTGGTGCCACACCAGTCAGTGAACTGATTAGTAATTACACACCCTTGATCCCAGCATCATGCACTTTAGATCCAGCCACCTCTAAAAAAGCCCCCCTATGACTGCATGAAGCTTTGGGGAGACATCTAGACATAAACCATAACAAATATCTTTTCACATTAGAAAGTAAGCATCCTGGAAGTAAGATCTTTACCTGTGCTTTATCGGTTCACTGATGTATCACAAAGTTCTGGAACAGGGTTAGGCACATAACAGGTGCTCAACAGGAACTGAGGATGTTGCTCAGTTCTAGAGTATGTGCTTTGCATAGTTGAGCTCCTGGATCAATGCCCAGCATGACAAGAGAAGGAAATGAAAGGGGAGAGAAGGTAAGGGGAGAGGAGAAAAAAAAGGTGCTTACTATTTGATGAATTGACTCAAATAAAATCCTCCCCACAGCCAACCACTACTCTTACTCTCCTTTTCTATAGTCTATTTCCATTAATTATGATGATCCCACCAGTTTCTCATCCCTCATACACACACACACACACACACACGCATGCACACATAACCCAAGACCAAGGATCCAACCTCAATATCAAAATCCTCACCTCTAGATTTTTGGGGGTGACTGTGGAGAGAAAATCTTCTGTCCAAGAGTCTCAGAGACCCGTAAAGAAAGCTAGCCATATGGGGCTGGAGATTTAGCTCAGTGGTTCTGTCGCCTGCCTTGCAAGCGCAAGGACCTGAGTTTGATCCCCCGTACCAAAAAGAAAGAAAGAAAGCTAGACACAGATGTACAGCCAAGCAATCCTGTTTTGCTTGGCTGAAATGAGAGTAAAATGAGAGTGCCCTTATTAGTTTTGCTAGTTATAAAAACAACATCAGAGCTGGGATGTAATTCAATGGTACAACACTTGCCTAGCATGTAAATCTCAGAACTGCAAAAATAAACAAACCAAGAATAAAGAGGATAAAAGCCCCTCACAGATGGGCCAGACAGCCCCTAGACCTTTACCTGTCCTCTCTGTCTAGTCTGAGCTTATCTTCTTTTTTCTCCTCCCTCTAGCCTCACCCCCAGGCAGACCCACTTGGAGGCTTTTCAACCACTTGTCTGTTGGTTTAAAATTTCCCCCATATCCAAGGGATAGGAGAGCATTTTGGGGTAACTGAAGTTCCCTGGAGCTACACCAAGAATATTCTAATATTCCTAACAAAGCAGTTCCATTGGGCCCATTTCTCAAGGCAACTGCAAAGATGAAAATAATGACTTTTCAGATGTATGAAAATCACCGTTGCACCAGATGTGGTGGCACACATCTATGATCCCAGCACTCAGGAGGCTGAAGAAGGAGGATCACAGCGAGTTTGAGGCCAGCCTGGGCTCAATAGTGAGTTCAAGACCAGCCTGAACTACACAGTGAGACCCTGTTTCAAAAACCAAAAAAAGAAAAGAAAATTACCATCTATTTATTTTCACCCCATCTTATTCCAAAAAGACACTGAACTCTGAAATAGTACCATGTGATGATATTTATAGGATTTTTTGCACAAGTATTTTATTTCTTGTATAAATGTTTTTGCAAATATGAGAGTTTGGTGTAACAATCCATTCTTCTACCACTCCACAAAGCAAAAGGTTTCTATTTTTCCATATTCCAAAGTTAGCATCTTAATTTCAAGTCTGCATTTTACTTTCTTATCATTGGTTTATATCCATTTTTCATGTTGTTATATGGTCTTTGAAACTGTCCCTTTTCCTGGAATATAATATTACATGGATCAGATTTTGCCATCCTAGCAGTAGCTAGCCTGGTCTTCTAAGACACTCTCCATTCCCCACCCCAACTGGATATGGCTCTGGCCCTCTGCCTCAGAACTGGTCAATCATAGTACAGTGAGTCCCTGATTTACAAACAAGCTCCAATCCAGGAGAGTTGTGTCTATGTCAGATTCATTTGTAGCTGACAGCGTGACTCTTATAGAGTACATCTGTGAGAGTTTGCAACTCAAATATGTGTAAGCCAAGGACTTACTATACTCTACTCCACTGGCCCCACAAACTGCCCAGAAAGAAACAAGTCAGGACAGCCTCCTGGGAAAAGAGAAGTTTCTGGGCCTCCTGGGAAAAGAGATACATTCCTCCAGGCTCACAAGGCAGGAACAATGTAAAGTAAATGCCCTCGTAAATCTGGAGCCGTTTGTGCTTTGCTTCCTTTCCCCATAATTGGAGAAAAATACTGCACTCAATAGGGGAAAAAATGAACTGCAGACCTGAGAGAAGCAGAGCCAAGGATGCAGGAGCCCAGCAACATCATCTGAACTTCCCAGATTCTTGAACCACTATGTTGCCTTTTGTGCCTGAGCCCGTTACATGTCATTCACTAGCAGTTAATATGGGTGACTAGGTGCTGCCAAGAGCTGTAGTGCTAAGGGCCAAGGAGCCACTGGTGCTCAAAGCCCAGAGCTACTAACAGAGCTGCACTTTGCCGACTCCTGATTTCCACCTGAATTGAGCAAAAGAACCCTCAGCTGCCTGGCCACAAGAGTGCTGGGATCAAACCTAGGCCATCACATATGCTAGGCAAGCACTCTACCACTAGAGCTACAGCCCTAGCCCCTTAATGTAGCAATAAATAACCAAAAAGTGATCTTTCCACTGGGGATCCCAAGCTGGTACAACACAAGCCTAGAGCTGCTGGTGACCATCAATGAGGTGGCCTGAGGATAAAACCAATAGAGGAGAAAGGTGGAGAGACACAGCTTTGAGTGCTGGATCCTGTCAGCCTGAAGTCGGTTCTGTGTCTGGAGTTTTCTGTTGTGGAGTCAATTAGGCCACTTTTTGTAAGCTTGTTTGAGTTCAGTTCCTGTCACAAAAACAACAACAAAATGTCCCTTACAAGGAGAGTTTGTGATGAAGGAAATGTTGAGTCCAACTGGCCTCTGGTAGGGCCAGGACCTTGAGGTCCAGTAAAGTTCTTCCTAGTTCACAGAACACCTGGGTGGTAAGGAAGGGGAAGGTAAAGAAAAGGTGCCTGCTCTGGTATTCCACACATTCTGATCTTGGTGAGGACAGAAACAGGATTCTGCAGAACAACCACCAGATGGAGTCTGAGTACTTCAGGTGCAGGTTCTGGCAGACAAAATGGAACCATCAGCGTCTACACCACCCAGATAGAGGTGTGAAAGTCACACCCGAGTACCCTCCCTCTCTGTGGTAACCACTTTCCCAGAGGTCTGAGGTCATTTATGCTCCCCTCCAACTCCTCTCAAATCTGTCAGAGGACATTCACACCCATGAAAATATAACAGTTTAAAATAATCAGGTCAGCATGATATTGGTCCAAAACTAGACTCATAGATTAATGGAACAGAAGAAAGAGATTGGTAAAAGTTCTGCACAAAACAGTCAATTGATTTTTTTTTTCCTCTTTGAAACAGAGTATCAAGGCTGAGCGTGCTGGCACATGGCTATAATCCTTGTACCATGGAGGCTGAGGCATGAGGTTCACCTCGAGTTTGAGGACAGCCTCAGCTACATAGTAAGTTCAAGGCCAGCCTGGAATACATACCAAGACCCTGTCCATAAAAAAAAGTCAAGCACAAGGACCCCGAGTTCTATCCCTGGTACCAAAAAAAAGAAAAAGAAAAAGAAAGGAAGAAAGAGAAAGAGAGAAAAAAGAAAGAGAGAGAAAAAGAAAGAAGGAAGGAAGGAAGGAAGGAAGGAAGGAAGGAAGGAAGGAAGGAAGAAAGAAAGAAAGGAAAAGAAGAAAAGAAAAGAAAAGAAAAAAGAGAAAGAAAATCACTATTACGTGCAGGCTGGTTCTAAAACACATAGGCTCAAGTGATCCTCCCACCTAAGACTCAGTTGAGGTTTGTTTGGTACTGGGGATCAAACTCGGGATCTTGCAAATGTGAGGCAGGCGGTGGAACCACTGAGCTAAATCCCAGGCCCATGTTTTGTGTTGTTTTTGAGATAGGGTCTTGTTATGCAGTTCAGACTGGTTTTGAACTCACTATGTAGCCCAGGCTGGCCTCGAACTTGCAGTGATCCTCCTGTCCCAGCCTTCCGAGTGCTGGGATTACAGGCATGTGCCACCATGCCTGGCTCAGACTAAATTGATTTTTTTGTTGTTGTTGTTGTTGTTTTTGTTTTATACTGGGGATCAAGCAAAAGAACACTCAGCTGGCCACAGTTGATTTTTGACAAAAGACCACAGGCACTTCGCTGGAGAAAGGATAATTTTTAAAATAAATTGTACTGAGTCTTGTAATCTCAGCACTTGGGAGGCTGAGGAAGAAGGATCACCAGTGAGTTCAAGGCCAGTTTGGGCTATGTAGTAAATTCAAGGCCAGCCTGAATTACATAGCAAGACCAGTCTCAAAAAACGAACAAATAGGGCCGGGGGATTTAGCTCAGTGGTTTGGCCACCTGCTGCGCAAGCACAAGGACGATCCTGGTACCAAAAAAACCCCAACAAATAAGCAAGCAAAAAATTGTGCTGGGCGGGGAGTGGGGGTTAACAACTGTAATCCCAGGTACACAGGAGACTGAGGCAAGAAGATAGAAAGTTAGAAGCCAGCCCAGAAAAGTTACTGAGACTGAAAACTAACTTTGAGACTCTGTCTCGAAATAAAAATAAAAAGGCCTTGGGGTATACCTTAATGCTCTCTGGGTTTGATCCTCATACCATAAATGAATGAATGAATGAATGAATAAACAAAGCTGGTACAATTAGACAACCATAAGCAAAGGAAGACAGAAAGAGAAAAGACTAGAGGAAGGGAAGGGAAAGAGGATAAAAAAGAAATAAGGTATGTCATGTACATGAACCAACTCCCCATGAGGAATGTAATCATTACGTACTGCAAATGTGCCTCGGCCAGCATGGCTGAAGGGTTCAAAGAGTGAGAAAGGAAGGTGGGAGACTAAGAAAGACAAAGAGATCTATAGGTGGGGCCAGGTGGGGCTCTAACTCCTGATGGGAGAAAAAGACCCCAGGCAAATGGCAGTGTGTTTATTTATAGTGGTAGAGGTAAAGGAAGTTTAGAGGGAGGTAAAAAGGAATGGTCTGTAACCCGGGCCAGGAGAATAGCTAAAGTCTGTAGGACATCATGTGTGATGTTTTTTGGCAAATGGGTGGGAAGGCATATAGTCCTCTTCTCCTCGAGGGCTTGTTTTACCATGCCCTCTTGTTGCTTGTTTTCTTCCCTTGGGGCCCTGTCTCCTCTGCAGGAGGAAGTGAACAAAATGTTTGGTTTTTGTTTTACGAGGGCCCCTGCCCCATCTGTGGGAAGTGGTGAGTTAGGCCTGGCCATAGTGATGTACAGTGCAG